AAATGTTCTTAGAACACAATACATGTTCTAAGAACAAATATAAAACTTTCAGAACAGAAACCCGACGCAATAACACAAGACAGGCTCCGCCAGAAGTGTTCTGAGAACCTTCCGTGGAAACCACCAAAGGTTCTTAGAACAGTGTTTGGTAGGGCTATAGGCGAGCCAGGACGCTTCGCCTAGAGGAAGGAGAACTATGCACATACACCGATTCTGGCCAGGCCCATCCTGAGCCCAGGATCGGTGCACACGACCGCCTACCTTGGCTAGGAAGGTACATGCACCGATCCTCGGTCCAGGCTGGGCCTTGCCAGGATCGGTGCATGTGCATAGTTCCCTTCGCCCGATCGCCACTGCTTGAATTATGTCGGGCGTGTCCGCCTACAGGGCGGCTTTCGGCGAACAATAAAAAATACCCCAAACAGATTCCAAAAAGGTCAAAAAATACTCAAAAAAATCCCCAGACTATTTTTGAATTATTTGTTGACTATTGTGGTGTTTTTTTTAATTTTTCGTAGAAAATCCCCCTGTAGGGGGACAGGCCCGACTTAATGCTTGAGAAGTTGCGCTCGGCAGCGGGGGCGCGCTCGCGGCGCAACCGCCCTGCTCCGGGCGCTCGCCGGCGCGGCCGACGCCCGGGGCGCCCTCACCCGGCGGCGGCGCGGCCGGCGCGCCGCTTAGGCCGAGCAGCTCGCGGACGCGGGGGGCGAGGAAGGCGGCCTGGGCCTCGCGGGTGCCCGGAGGTGCCGACGGCGTCTTCACAACTCGCCGTCGCTCGGGCGTCCACTTCCCTGTGCATTTGTTTCGGCTTCGTGCGTGTGCTTTTTTGGCTCGGTGGTCCAGGAGGCTCCTCGAGGGTTCTCGCCGAGAAGAGAGTGCACACGTCCGAGCGACGCCCAGCCCAGAGGTGCCGACGACGCGTTCTAGGTCGGGAACGTCCCCCTATACAGGCGGGCGTCGTGCGAAAAATAAAGCATAACCCAAAAATATGCAAAAGTGGTCGAAAAATCGCCCCCCAACCATTGTTTCAACTATTTTTGAATACTCCTCCTGTAGAGGGACAGGCCCGACATGAGATTTGTTTCGCCATCTTCTCGGGCGTTGGCAGAACTGGGTTTAGTGGGACCTGGTTTAATGCTGTGTACTAGGGGACGCCCCCCCCCGCCCCGTTGCACTAAACGGAACCGCCGTCACCCGAAAAAGCATCAGCCGCGGCAGACCTGGTTTAGCGATTCTGGCCAATCTAGGGGCTCTGGGGCCCTACCACTGACCTGGGCCCCTTACGTGGGGCCCTGGCTACTCCAGATTTCGTAATAAAGGGAGGGGGGTCTCATTTCGGGAGGGGTCTCTTCCAGGCTATCTTGGAGGGCCTGGAGGGGTCTGGGGACGATGTTTTGGAGGGTTCTCCCACGGGGGGGGGGTCTAAAACTTCTCGTCTGGGAGGGTTGAGACCCCCTCCCTTTTATTACTAAATCTGGAGTATACCAGACCATCTTTTCACTACTTTTGACTAGTCCTCCTGTAGGTGGACCTGCCCGCCAGGAGGGTTTCGCCGTCCTCGGCCCCCAAGGGCCCTCGGCGGGCCCCTGGGCCGCCAGAACAAAAAAACGGCTCGAGATGTCGGGGGCGGCCAAGAGGGGGGGGTCCAAGAGGGGGGGGTGCAAATCATGGCCGGCGGCGTGTGCGCGGCCCAGCGGGGAGGCCAGGGACGTAATGAAATGAGAAGGGGCGCCATGAAATCTGGGGAAATATCATGGCCCACGCCATGACATCCACCCCCCCCTTGTCATCACCCCCCTCTTTTTTCCGCCCCCGAGGATGACGAGCCGGCCGCGGGACGTGGCCAGGACGTCCGGGGGCCGCGCGCCGAACAAAAAAAAAAGCACTGCGGCGTCGAAGGCCTGAGGCAACGGTCGGAGCTCCGCGAAGGCCTCCTGGAGTTAGGATTGGGCATGTCCCTCTGCCGTCGGATGTTGGACACGGGATCAAACATAGTCCAAACATAATTAACCCCCCGAAACGCTGAAGAGCATGAAAAACAGATCGTCCCACGACTCGTTGCTGACTAGATTTTCGAATGGTCCTCCTGTAGAGGTACAGGCCCGACTTCATCTTGGATCGGCGCTGCCGGTGCCTCCCTGCGTGGTGTCCTCCCCCTGGCCCTTCTCGCCCGCCCGCCAGCCTGCCTCGCCCCGTCGACCCTTGCCCCTCGCCCGCGCTCGTCGTCATCGTCGTCGGCGTCGGCTTGCTCCTCCCTCCCTTCCTGCTCCCTCTGGCTTCGGGGCCCCAGAACGGTGTGGTGACAGACCGTGCGGTGACCCCGGAATCCCAAAGAGACCTCACCACACGGCCCGTCACCGCGTCGGACCCTGGAGTGCGACGGGGCCAGGACGAGGAGAAATTCGGCTGAGGATCAATCGAGAACCGTCGGCGGTGGACAAACCTCCCTTTAATAAACCTCCCCTTAGTGAGAACGGCCTGGGACCGAAACCGACGGACCTGGACCCGCAAAAATGACGGCCGCGACGCCCTCTCGCGAACCGAAAACGGCCAATTCGCTCATCGACGCGTCAGGGCAGGAGGTCTGCCCACCTGCGAAACCTCTGAGCACAGGCGGCTCTGGAGGATGTCTCGGGCGCCGGCGGCCTTCTCAGAGCGCTCCGGCATGCGCTGGAACGGCGTTGTTTCCTCGCCCCGGCCCCGCCCGGCGGAGGCCCCGCTCGCCCGAGGTGTCCTCGGGGATCGGCCGGGGTCCCCCAAACCGGGCCATCCCGACCACCCACCGACTCGCCCACGCGGGGTGGCCGCCGCACCGCGGGGTGGGGGGGCCCCCGACGGCGTGGCCGGGCAGCGCAGACACTCTGGCGCCGCTCCTGGCGCGCTCCGCTGCGCGCGCCAAGGGGGGGGTCCTCCTCCTCCTCCTCCTCCTCCTCCTCCTCCAGCGCCGATCCAAGAGATCCGCGCGGGCCTTCGAACGTGCGTGCTTACGCAGCGATTTACAATTCGAGCCTCGCTGACCGCGGCGGTGAAGTGCACGTGGTCGCGATCCGCCGCCGTCGGGAGACAACTGCTGGGAGGCCTTGGCAAGAGCGAGTAGGGGGCATCATTAAGCCCATTGAGGCGCCATCGAGGCGGATCAGTCCAAACTGAGCCCAAACCACAACTAAGCCGGATTTAGCCGGATCAAACGGGATGAGGTGGGATGATGCCGCATTATGTCGGACAGATCTGATTTTCAACAGCGGATATACCAGCGCCGATGCCCAACGTAACCTCCCAAGAATTGCACCCCAGCCGCAGGGCCGCAAGAACGTGCGGGCAAGGCCAAACACGTCGACGGAGTGTACGGCAAGCTCGTGTCGTGACCGACTGCGTGGTGGTCTCGGGCACCGCGTGGATCGTTCAACTCGGGCGGGTGCTAGTGGGGGGTGACCGAAAGGGGTGGTGATGAAAAGGGCTCTAAATGGGGCTCTTTAGGGGCCCTTTTGGGCTACTGCTGGCTCCAAAAGGGCCCATAAAAAGCCCCATTCCCCCGCTGCCTGACCGAAAAAAGCCAGCACGGAGCACCGAGCACGCCAAACGTGCCAAAGAGACGACGGCTCGGATCGGAAGCGGCTCGGATCGCCAACGCACCGAACCGTCCCAACTCGGATCGCCGCGCTCGGCTCCCGATGGCGGGCACCACTGCTGCAGCGAGTCGGACAGGATCGACCCGGATAGGAGTCGCGGCCCAAGCCCCCCTGCCACCCCCCTTGCGAAAGCGTGGATTTTCTCGAAATTCAGAAGGGAAAAAGACACACAGACACAATTAATCGTCGATTCCGAGGAAAATGTTGGAAAATATGGGAAGTGGGGGGGAAGACAGAAACCCCAAAATATTGGAAAATATACGGAATATTTTTATTTGTGTGTATTTATTTGTGTGTCCTGAGGCCCCTTCAGGAATACTCAATGCACCATGGGGTGCCTTGTGAGGAAACGCCTCTGGAGCCACCGCCCCGCGGCCCAACCGGCGCACCGAACAGCACCGCATCGGACCGCGGGCGGCCCCGACGCCCCCAGCCCCCACCCACGGAGGCCGGAGGGAAGCGACGACGCCGGGATGGGAGCCACCAGTAGGGGGCCACATGCATGTGAACCCTACCCCTACCCCCCACGATTTTTGAGGGGAGGGTGGGGTTCACTTCGCTCGGGAGCTCCCGAACGAAGTGAACCCCACCCTCCCCCTCAGAAATCGTGGGGGGTAGGGGTAAGGTTCACATGTGGCCCCCTTAACCAGTCCGCCCGAGAGGGTGGCCGCGGGCGCTGCGTCGGCGTTCCACCGCCGCCGCCGCCGCCCTCGACCCACGACCGAGGCACGGTGGCGAGGCGGGCCGAAGGCGCCGGAGGCGGGGGCCTCGCGAGGAGCACGGCCAGGGTTGGCTCGTTGGCTCCCAGCCGCTTCAGTCCCAGAGCCCCCCGGCGGGAGGCTGGGGCCGGGCGGGCAGGCGGGAGAGGGGCTGGGCGAAGACAGCATGCAGGGCGGGTGGCAGGGAGCAGGAGGAAAGGGAGGAAGATGAGGAGGAGGACGAGGAGGAGGAGGAGGACAAGGAGGAGGAGGAGGAGGAGGAGGAGGAGGAGGAGGAGGGAAGTCGAAAAAACCGCACGCCGACGAGCCGGGCAACGGGCCACGAGAGAATGGCCACCCGCCACGAGGCTACGGACACGGCGGCGGCGACCCAGGCCAGCCGGGGGAGGCGGAGGGAGTGCTTCGGAATGGGTCTCGGCCGCCACCACCGCGCCCCCCGGACCACCTTTGTCATGATTTTTCATCACGTCTAACTGCGCCGACCTTGCAGACGTGCTCCAGCGGATTTTCGCGTGGATTTCTGTAAATGCAAGCCCTGAAACGGCGAGCGAAAAACGAAACTACTTTGTATACTCTTCACTCCCTGCCCCCAGAAATCTGCGCGAAGCTCACTTCGAAATTCGGAACGACATTCCCCAGGACAATCCGAACCCATCCCATTGCTTTCAGAACGAAAAGCGCTCTGCGCTGCTGGCGCCATGACGCCCCCCAGACCCTCGACGTCCTGAATTTCTCATCGCGTCGGCCCCCCGTTGAGCAGGGCCCGACGCCACTGCTTGACCCCGAGGTCTCGACCCAGTCCCTGGGACCGGCTTCCCCTCCTGCGCTGGCCCCTCGCGGCCCCGCGAGGCCCGGTTGGGGCCCAGTGGCCAAGCCTAGCGCTAGGTCGGGCATGTCCCCCTACAGGCGGATTCTGGGCGAAGAATCAAAAATACTCCAAACAGATCCCCCCCCAAAAAGTCAAAACATCGTCCCCAGACTATTGCTGAACTATTGTTGGATATACTCCTCCTGTAGAGGGACAGGCCCGACTTAAGAATAGCGTCGCACAGCCCCGGCGCGTTCTCCCCATGACCCTCGGGCCGGGCGAAAAGGGGGGATAGCAAAGGGGGGTTGAGAATCAGCTCACGTAGCTGACTTTCTCGGCGCCTCCCGGCGCCGGAGACGGCTATATGTCGAGGAATGGGCCCCTCGGTGGGGCCGAAACCAGCTGCATGCAGCAGGTTTCGTACCCCCCCCTTTCCCTATCCTTATGTCGGGCGTGTCCCCCTACCGGGGGGGGTTCGACGAAAAATAAAAAATACCCCCGAAGTGCCCCAAAAAGCACAACAAATACTCCAAAAATACTCCCCAGACTATGTTTTGACCATTTTGGAGGTAGTTTTAATTTTTCGTCGAAAATCCCCCTGTAGGGGGACAGGCCCGACTTAACCCTATCCACTCCTTTCGTCCCGCCCGATGGGCGGGGGGGCCCCCCAAAGCCCCAAAGAAGCTCCCAACCGGCCCCCAACAGGCTTCACAACCGCCGCCAGGAGGCCCCCGAGAGGCTCCCCACGATCCCGACGAGCCTCCCAGAAGCCTTGGACCCACAACCCAGGCACGGTGGCGGGATGGGCCGACAGCCATCCGCCGCCCCCCTTTCCCTAACACCCCCTTTCCCTATCCCCCCCGTTCGTCCCGCCCGATGGGCTGGGGGGCCCTGCGCTCCCCGGCAGGCGGCGGGAGCTCGGCCAGAGGCCGCGGCATAGAGCCCGCCCGCGGGCCGCAGCCCCCGCGTGAAGGCGTGGAGGTCCAGCACCGGAACGGCCCGCGCCGCGCACACCCGCAGCGCGGCCTGGTTGTAGAGGGCCAGGTCCTCGCCGCCGCAGGAGGCTGGCATCCCAGAGCGAGGGGAGGAGGAGGAGGAGGAGGAGGAGGAGGAGGACTTTTTTTTGGCATTCGTTTCGGGGTGAACTAAAAGTCAGGCGCGTTCCTCGGACAGCAGCTGACCCCCAGACCATTGCCTGGGGCGCTGCCGGTTCCGATTCGGCTACCGAACCCTGCCCCAGAGGGACGAGGAGGAGGAGGGGGAAGGTTGGGGAAAGGGAGGGGGAAGGAGATCAACTGCTATGCGCTGCGATAACCCACTTCCCACATTCTAATGGGCTGACCACCTAGCAAAGCGAGACCTGACCTTCCCTCCAGAAGGGATGAAAAGAGTAAGAATGCCCACCCAACCTTTCCCCTCACAGACAAGAGCATCCCCTGGACGCCAACGTGCAGGTTCGGGCTTTCAGGCATGGCATTGCCATGGCACGACACGGCAGGAGAGGGCAGAGTTTTGCAACCTAGCCCTGGCTGCCAATTCCATGCACTGTCTGGTGGAAGAGAAGGGGATAAACTGGGCTGAAGAGGAGGAGGGAGGACTGAAAGGATTCAGGCTGCAAGACTTCGCTTGCCTGCCTGCTGGCCTACAAGATCACTTGTGTCTTATTTGCTAGGAAAATATGCACACGACGCTGTAAAGCTCACCCTCACAGAAGTACGAATGGTCCCTTACATGACTTGCAACTGCACATCCTAGTGCTTGCGCAAAGCGAGGGGCCTGGACAACATTTGACAATAATGGCTATACGCTGCGCGTTCTAGCGCCTGCGGCCGTCACGATGATGAGGTTGAGCTGAGGGAAGCCATGTTTGGCGAAGTGTGCCTGATTCGATTGCATGCGAGCGAACTGTTTCAGTGCTGCCAGCAAGGTGGCTTAGAAGTGATACTAGACATGGAGAGCTCCACATCAAAAGTGCAGATACGACCGTATTGAGAAAAACATGCCGTGACCATTGATGGCTCACGCCAAATGGCCTTCTAGCCAAGCTGATGTGCTCCGCAGCCTGAAGTCATTTCCCAAAACGTGCTCACGACTTGCAATGTTAGGCAGTGGCTTGAGGGTCTCTTCCCTCATTTTGCTGTCTCTGCCGACTTGCTGTTCTGGGCTGGATCTTCCGAGCCCCTGGTCTGCTTGAGCCTCTTGAACTCGTCCCTAGCATTGTCGAGCTGCTCTGCCAACGAGTTGATGCGAGCCTCCTGTAAATTCTGCTTAAGTTCTTCCATTCTGGATAACGAACGATCGCCTTCGCTGGTTACCTCTGGATGGGCTTCGGACTCTGAGCTAGAGTCCTTGCGCTTGCGCTCCGATTGGGACACGGGCATTCTAGGATCTGACGGCCTCCTAGCCTTCTCCCTCTTTGACTTCTTCGATTTCTCGTCCTTCTTGGACTTTTTGTGAGCCTTCCTAGGCTTACGAATGGTTCTGTCCTTAAACTGCTTCGAGCGGGACGCCATGGCTGCAATCTGTGTGAGCGCGAAAGACACTGAGTGGCCTCCTGGGAGGCCGGTCTGGGAAATTGCTGACCTGGCCAGCTGCCTTGAGAAAATGACAACTTGAGCCAAAATGGCTACGGGGGAGAGGAGAAGGAGGAGAAGAAGGAGGAGGAGGAGGAGGAGGAGGAGGAGAAGGAGGGGGAGGAGGAGGAGGAGGCGGCGGAGGAGGACGAGGAGGAGGAGGAGGAGGAGGCGGCGGCGGCGGAGGAGGGGGGGGGGCTGGCAGGGTTCGAGAGCTTCGAGGTCAGAGGCCCCCGAGGTTTTCGGGCGTGCTCCTTCGTTTCCGCCGGCTTCCTGGCCTCGGAAAGCCTTGCAGCGGCTGCGCCTCGTCGAGAGCGTTCTGGGGCCGCCCGGATCGTCCCGAACGGCCACCGGAGGCCAGAGTCTTGATCGAAAACCACCCGAGGACTGGCGCAGGGGGGCCGCATCGACCTGGAATCGGCGATACATCGTCGATCGATCGGCGATGGGCCCCCGGCAGCGAAACCGCACCTTCCTTGGCGGGTTGGGGCTGTCGGGCCTCTGTCGGCCATCAATGGGCGATTGGGGGTCGACGCACCTCCCCTATGCATAGTTGTCCCCCCTACGGTTGCCCCCGACAGAGGTGCGAGGCTGGGATGAAGCCAGGAAAACGACATGATCTGAAAAGGACAAGTCGAGCATCTCTGAGACCCAGCGGCTCTGGAGGATGTATCAGACGCCGCGGCCTTCTCAGAGCTTCCTGCACGCTCTGGAACTGATCTATCCTTGTCCTGGCCCCGCCCGAACACTGGCATCCCATAGATCCGAGGGCCCTACAACAATTTGAGTGGCCAATGTTTAATGCCAGTCAACATCAGTCAACGGGCCCCGGGACAATCAAAGAACGACTCAGGACGAAAAACCCGCCCTGCAGGGCAAAGGTTTAGGGGTCCACGCATCGGAAACATTGGAGCGCCGAATGCCTGGGATCTTCGAGTGGTGAACAAACCGCGACACACTGTTTTTGACCGTCCTTGGCCTCCATGGGGCCCCCGCCAGGCCCCGGGGGAACACTCAACATGACGAAACACCTGGATGAGACGCTGGTCTCTGGGACAGGGGCTATGAACTCTGGGGCAGCCGTGCTGTGAAGGATCTCAGCGTCGGATGCTCGAGTGCTCCGTGAAGCTACGGGCCAGTCCACTCTTGATGCGCGGATTCGAATTAATTTTTGTTCGTCGACATGTTTCGTAGATTTCGTAATCGATTGGTCGTTGATCTCGCAATTCCTACTGGAATCGAAGCGAGCATGTTCTCATTCGGCGTTTCGACATGGGGCGGAAGGGGGGGGATCTGGCTCCGGTTTTGTGTTTCATGGGATTGTTTGCAACAGTGCGTCCTATGGGGGAAGCCCCACCTGCTTGAAGCAAGCGCCAGAAACAGCCGAGATCTACTCCATGGGGGGTGCGGGTGTGCGAGGGCCCGCGCCGATTGGCAATGCCGTCGAGCGATCCCCACCGAAACCTTCGGCGTTTGATACCGACGGTGCTCGCGCCCGTTGAAACGATGGGCGCGTGGCCTGGTGTTGTCGGCCAGTGCGGCGGTCTGACCAGGTCGCAAGTTACTTTTCTCCTGGAATCTGGCGGCCCCAACTTGAAGGGTGAGGAATCAGACAACGATCGCTATACCCGCCGCTCGGGAGAAGCAGGTAATTAGAAAGCACAAACAAGGAAGGCGGACTAAAGAAGATTGGGTTCATAACCTCCCAGAGAATCGCGAAACGCAGCAAAAGCATGCCGATTCTTGAAGCAGGGAGGCGCTTGAAGTATGGTCCTGGAACTTTCAACGTCCAGAACGCGAGCAAAGGACCTCGGTTAGGAGGGCCAAACACATCAGGGATAGGATGTCTTTCCTGCAGGTGTAGCGAACCACACCGACCATGTTCAGGATCCCTAGTGCAAAGACGGGTGCCTCAGTGAGGCCACGTCTTCCTCGGGTTATTAGAGTTCGGGGTTCTTTTGTCCTCGGTGAGCGTGTGCGAATGTCTGGGGGGTCAGGTCTGCAGGGGAACCCGCAGGGGCGTCATGAGGGCCGTCTTAGTCGCTCGTCGACGTGGCTCTTGGTTCTTTTCGCGTCAGCATGCTCCTGGTGCGCGAAAACTCCGATCAGGATGTTCGTTGCACCGCGGGCCCAGCATGACTTCCGTCCAGAACTTCCAATTCTGACGTCGTCTCCGAGGCTTTGATGGTAAACGACAGCCTGACACGTCTGGGCAAATGTCGAAGTCTGCTTGCGCCAGACCGGTGCCACCCCTAGAGGGCAGAAAATCCACCCCGATAATAACCACCCCGACAGGCGAGGCCGTTCAGTAAGCGCACTCAGAAAAGGAACCGAACGGGGCAGGGCTGTTTCGTAAACGCCCAAGGCCGTTTAGTAAACGCCAACTATTTTGAACGCCCGAAATGGGTACGGAAAGAATGGGCACAACGCCCGACAGCAAATTCTGTCCCGAACCGACAGCGGCCGCTGTTGGGCAGGCGGCCTCCTGTCTCGAATGGACACAGGCCGCGGCGGCGCGGACAGCGAGTCCGGTTCAAAATGAACAGGAACCGTTGTTGATCGGGTCGGGCGAAAGGGGGAGATAGCAAAAGGGGGTTTGAGAATCAGCTCACGTAGCTGATTTTCCCGGCGCCTCCCGGCGCCAGAGGCGCCCATGCATCGAGGAATGGGCCCCTCGGTGAGGCCGAAACCAGCTGCATGCAGCAGATTTCGTAACCCCCCCTTTCCCAATCCCGCCCTTTCGCCCGGCCCGAGTTGAGCATTGCACCCATTCTTTCCGTGCCCATCTCGTTCGTGCGGGCGGCTCTTCTTCCCTTGAGCCCCCCCGCCTGGCCGGGGCCGCCCCCGGGGGGCCTCGCCCCGGGCCGCCCAACCCTCGCGCGGCCGCGCCCTGCGCGGCGCCCCCCCCCCCCCCCGCGTGGCCACCTCCGCGCTCGCGCGCCGCCCCGGCTGGAGGGACGCGGCGCCCCGGGAGGGGGGGAGGCGGCTGAAACGGCGAGGACGAGGAGGAGGGGGAGGAGGAGGAGGAGGGGGGAGGAGGAGTAAGAAGTAAGAGCAACAGTCCCACGTCAGGGGAGCCCTCTGAGCCTTTCCGAGTCTGGCTGTAAACTTGAGGCCGCCGTGGCGGATCATTGTTTCTGGTTAGCAGCCAGCTCTGGTGGGAGTGGAGGAGGAGGAGGAGAAGGAGGATGAGGAGGAGAAGGAGGAGGAGGAGAACGAGGACGAGGACGAGAAAGAGGACGACAGGAGGACGACAGGGGGGGGGGGCTCCCGCGCCGTTCCGGGCCGCGGCGTGCGAGGCGCGGTTGAGCGGCTCCGCGCCCCTGCGGGTGACTTCCGCCTCCATTCCGGAAAGCTGCGCGGGCTTCCCTCGCACTTCGTTGGTGAGCGTCTTCTAAATCGACGTTTCGACATGGGGCGGATGGGGGGGGGAGAGGGGGGGTTTGGCTCCGGACCTCCTGCTTCATGCGACTGTTTGCAACAGTGCGTCCTGTGGGGCAAACTCCACCTGCTTGAAACAGGGGCCACAAATAGCCAAGATCTACTCCAGGGGGGTCGGGGACGGGGTGGTGCGAGGGCCCGCGCCGATCAGCAAAGCAATGAATAAGAAAACGATCACTTCGCACAAATATGAAAGAGCCCAGGGACGCGCCAAGAAATATACATAACACCCAGGACCGTCTGTTCGTTCCCCCTCCGCTCCCTAACTTGTCCTTTCTTTCCGGGGCAACGAAGGCTCTTCTCGTCTGTGCGTACTTCCCTCTTTCAGAGAAGAAGACTGCTCTCTCCGAGGCACTGTGCGGCTGCTGCTCGGCCCACCCTCGCGCACGCCACGCCGCCCGTGGACTCAGGACTGCCGAAACCACCTGCCGATGCTCGGCCGACGCGCGGCCCTTCGCCTGTCGTGTCCCCGCGGGCGACGAGGCCCCCCCGGTGGCCGCGGCCTCGGCCTGGCCGTGGCGTGTAGAGGCCGCCCCCCGCGGGTCCTCGTCGAGCCGGCGGAAGGTCTTCGAGACCGCGTTGTGGAGGTCGTCGTCGACGGGCGTGCTCGCGACCCAGGCGAGCCTTCCGCTGGGCTGCGCCGCTTCTCTCGGGCGCGCCGGCGAGGGGGGCCAGGAATGGGACGCACAGAGACATACTAATACTAGATGTCCGCCTTGGAGGCGCGCGTCCGACCCGAACATATAGTATACCCATCTTGTAGTATATCGTTTCCCGAGCGGTGTGGCCAGAAAGCGCACGCCGCGACGCATATACTATAAGATTTCTCGGTGCGCGCGTCGCCCCTGGGGGGGCGACGCACATACAGTATAAGTATGTTGGGGGGATGCCGAAGGAACAGCGAGGTCCGGTCGATCGGTGGACCAGGCCGTCGTCCCCCACGCGCAAGCACGCACGCCCAAGGCAGCGCAGAACAACAGAGCGCAGCACACACACACACACCACAACACACACACACACCGCACAGTACAGCACAGCACAGCCCAGTACAGCACAGCACAGCACAGCACAACACAGCACAACGCATCACAGCACAGAAAAGCACAGCGCAGCAAACACACACACACACAACACAACACGACACGACACAACACGACACGACACAACACAACACAACACAACACAACACAACACAACACAACACAACACAACACAACACAACACAGCACAACGCAACGCAAAACAACACAACACAACACAGCACAGCAACATACACACACGCGCGACACACTTGTTTTGGCGTCGTGGCCCCGCGCGCGGCAACGGGGTGTAGAGACCTGAGCACGACCAGCGTAACGAGCGCAACTGCGCCCGGCCGAACTCTCAGAGACCGCTCAGGGCCACACGGCTGGCAGCAGCCAGAACCTTCCGGGCCCGGATGGCGGGGAGGGGGCCCTGCGCGCACGAGCCACCACACCACACGCGCGCAGGCGCCCCAGACATGCGACGTCCTGATTCTCTCAATACGCGGCCCCTGGAAGTCCCGACCCTCTTTCTCCGGGGCCGGCTCCTCATCTTCGGACGCCCGAAATGGGTACCGAAAAAATGGGTACAATGCCCAACAGCAAATGTTGTCCCAAACCAACAGCGGCCGCTGTTGGTTGGGCGACCTCCTGTCTCGAATGGACACAGGCCGCGGCGGCGTGGACAGCGAGCCCTGTTCAGAATGAACAAGAGCTGCTGTTGGGCATCGTACCCATTCTTTCAGTACCCATTTCGGGCGTCCAGATCTCCGGGGCCGGCTCCTCATCCCGAGTCGGTTGCTTCGACGGCCCCGAGGCCCGGCGAGGGCTGGGGCCGCAAGCCACCCAAAGCCTCCCGTCCTGACTTTGGCCAGTCCTCGCCCCCGCTCTGCACGGCGCCCCCGCCCCTCGCGCCAGCGCCAGGATCTCGTCCACGTTGGCCGCGTACTCCTCGGGTGTTAGGTCGGGCATGCCCTCCTACAGGCGGATTTTTTGGGCGAGCATTGGAAAACTAAAAAAACAAATCGTGCCCAGACTATCTGGTAAACTATCCCTGGCGGCGCGCACAAAGGGGGTGGAGGGAGGGGGGAGGGCTTCTTAGAAGGAGGCCGCTTCTTAGAAGGCGCCGGCCCTACATCTGCAGATAAGGCCCGCGCCTTCTGAGAAGCAGGGGTGCTTCTAAGAAGCCCTCCCCCCTCCCTCCACACCCTTGTGCGCGCCGCCAGTACAGTCAAAAACCCAAAGAAGGACGCGCGGCAAGGACGCAAGACCCTTAGAAGCCGACGTCGGGATTTCTGGGGCGGCGGACGACGAAAACCTCAAGGACGCAAGAGCAAGGAGGAGCAAGGACGCAGGGGTACCCTGAGCAGAGTCGCGCGTCCTTCTTAGGGTTTTTGACTGTATCTCTGGATATTCCCTCCCCCCTCCCTCCACTCGCCATCGCTCGGACGTCCATTCCCTGTGTATTTTTGGGTTTCGTGCGTGGTTTTTCCGCCAAATGATCAAGGATGCTCCTCGATGGTCCTCGCCGAAGGAAAAATGCACACGTCCGAGCGATGCCAAGTGGACGCTCCTCCCCGTGCGGTCCTCGGGCGGCACGTGCAGGCCCTCCTCGCCGCGCGGGCGCCGCACGTCCCACAGGCCGCAGTTCAGCAGCAGCAGGTCCACGCGCGCGGGGAGGCCCCGGCGCGGCCAGGCCGCGGCGCAGGCGGGCGGCGCACCTGAGGGCCACTACAGTCGGGGCGTTGACCTAAGGAACCCTAAATGAGTTAAACTTCGATTCCACATCGAAAACCTAAGGACAACCTAAGGCAAACTGCGAAACAATTAAGGAACACGGAGCCCCTCCCCAACGAAAAGGGTTCCTTGTTTAGCGCCCCGACTGTAGGAGGCAACTGCGGGGAGGCTTCCGTCGGAAAGGTTCCGGAGGATGAAGCCCCATTTGGGAGGTGTTGCGCCGGAGTGGGCCTCGGATCAAGCGGGAATAAGCCGGATCAAACGGGATTGAGCGGGATGAAGCTAGATTTCGGACCAGGGCAGAATCAGAATTTGACCTCCCAGGAGTTGCATTCGAACAGGGGTAAGGTCAGGTCGGGCATGCCCTCCTACAGGCGAGGTCTCGGACCCCCCCCAAAAAACAAATATGGAAAAGGTGCTCAGAAAGAATCCGGGAGGGTCAGAACATCGTCCCCCCATGGTCTGTTTCTGCTATTCTTGAATGTTGCCCCTGGAGAAGGACATGCCCGACTTAACGGTAAGAGGAATGGGCTCAAGGGTGAGGGTGGGGTCAACACCGAGTTTGAACCAGCGTCGTACACACATACACACACACACACACGCACACACGCACACACACACACACACGCACACACACACACACACGCACACACACACACACACGCGCGCGCGCTTAGGTTCTAGTCGACTCCGAAGACGTTGTCAGTGGGCATTGTGTGCATCCCAGGATGCAGCTGCGCCGCGGCTCCCTTTCCCGCTTGGTTGATGGCCTCCGGGGGGTTCGTGGGGGCCTCTAGGGTCCCTCTCCCGAAGCCGTCTCCTGGATTGCCTCCTCCCCGTCCTCCTCGGGCAGCCACGTCGCCACGGTTGGAGTCCCCTCGAAACTCTGGCCCAAACCCATTCCAAAACAGGTCCTGGGGTTGATGTTGTACTCCCGGGGCCCGAAAACGGGCCCCTGGGGCCGAAAACTGCGAAAAACCTTCTCGAACTCCGAACCCCGAATCTCTACCAAAAACCTACGAACAGCTTCAAGAAGAACCGACCACGACGACAACGCCCACGATGACGACGACGACGGCAAGGGGCAAGGCGTGGATCCTCGCCCCCCCGAAGCAGATGTTCCCGGAGGCCCCTCCGGGAACATCTCCCGGAACCGCCCAGGCCCGAGAGGGTTGGGCGAGGGCGTCTGCGTAGCGCGGCGTAAACGCAACTTGACGGAGGGGGCGGGGGTGGCGCTCGTGTTGGGGCCTCTTGGGGTCTTTTGGGGGCCTCTTGGAGACCTTCTCGGGGCCTCTTGGGGACCTCCTTGGCGCGTCTTGGGGCTCTCTCGGGACCTCCTGGGATGCTTGCACGGCGGAACAAATTGTAACTTTTTGTTCCCTCTCGTGGGCCCCTCAGGAAGCCTTCTCGGGGCCCTCTTGGGTTTTCTAGGGCCCTCTGGGGCGCCTCTTGGGCTGCCTTGGGGCTGTCCAAGGCCGTCTTCAGGCCGTCTGGGGGGCCTCCCAGGCAGTCTTCGGGCGCTCTTGAGGACCTGTTGGGCCTTGTTGGAGCGTCGGAGAGGTAAAAAGGCGATCAAAACCAAACACATCGAACAAACAATTGAAAATCCTCAATTTTGGCCTCTCGGGGCTCTCTTGGGACGCTTCTTTGAGGCCTCTTGGGGCGGCTTCGGGGCTTCTTAGGCTGTCTTGGGGCCATCTTGGGCGTCTTCGGGGCCTCTTGAGACGTTCTTGACCATCTGTACGGCCCGCGTGGCCTGTCGTGGGCAATTTGGAAGCGGCCTGGGGCAGCTCCGGGGGGTCTGGGACCCCCCAAAGGTCCCGGGGGCGCCCATGGGGGAGGGTGGCACTGGCCCGCCCCCCCTGGCCTACTCCGAAAGACATGTGTATATATATATATATATATATATATACACACATATGAATATATTCACATATTGTCGATGAATTGGCAAGGATGTGAGCCCAAGATCCAAAACACAACCTGTTGGGCCAGGATAGAAACCCGGATGTCGAATCCGCGCGATCCTGGGCGGGGTGGGGCATCAGGGCCTTATCGGCGATGAGTGGGCGATTGGGGTTCGATGCGTTCCCCCTGAGCCTATCCTTAAGTTGGGCCTGTCCCCCTACAGGCCGATTTTGGACGATTGAAAATAGGCAAAAATTCAACGAAATACTCAAAAATGGTACGAAAATCGTCCCCTGACTAGTTCTTATAATATTTTCGAATATTCCCCCTGTAGAGGGACAGGCCCGACTTAAGCCTATCCCCCCCATCGTTGCCCCTGATCGCCGCGGGGCAGCGCCAGCGCGTGCCGGAGCCACGCCAGCACGTCCCTGGAGGACCCGCCGTTGGCCCCCTTCAGGCCGTTGTCCATGTACCTCAAATCGAGCAGGGACAGACAGCCCCGGCATTCCTATAGTCCTACCACGAACTGTTCTTAGGACCCAGAAATGTTCTAAGAACAGAAACGATGTCCTTAGAACATACACCCGATGTGATGAAACAGGGCAGTCCCAGCCAGAAATGCTCTAAGGACAGTTCGTGGAACCCCAGCAGGTTCTTAGAACATTGTCTGGTAGGGCTATGGGCGCGCCAGGACGCTTCGCGACTGCTTGACCAAAGGGCCGCACAAGCATGAGCTTTCGGACCTCCGCGCGGATTTCTTGGGCCTGCGCTGGGCCCCCTCCCGCGCGCGCGGGGCGCACCGGGGCGGCGGAGGCGCCGCCAGGGGGGGCCTGGCGCCGATCTGAAAACTCCGCGCGGACTTCTGTCTATGCCACGAGACCTATGTTGCATCACAGCAGCGACTCGGCCTCTGTCTTTCGGCCTGGGCTCGGTTTAGTGCAGTGACGATTTTCGGGGCCCCTACATGGGAAAAACATCACTTCACTAATCTGGGGCCCCTGGGGCCTCAGTGGGCCCTGGGGCCCAAAATTAGCGACGTGATGGTTTTCGGGCCTCGGATATGCTTTCTTTTTTTTACCTAACAGCGAAGACTGATAGGTTTCTAGTGGTCTCAAAAGAGAGAGAGAGAGAGAGAGAGAGAGAGAGAGAGAGAGAAAGAGAGAGAGAGAGAGAGAAAGAGAAAGAGAAAGAGAGAGAGAGAGAGAGCATCATGACTCCCCAAGGGGGTCTGGGCAGATGCCGGACGGGTGCCGCGGGAATCCGGGGACTCCCCATTTTGATTGCCAGGAACCACATTTTGACCGCCCGGAGCCAACATAACACCATTCCCAGGCCACATTTTGAATGCCCGGAGCCAACTGTAGGCCGCTTCGTGTTCTTCGTGTTCCCAGAACGCCATTCCCAGGCCACATTTTGAATGCCCGGAGCCAACTGTAGGCCACTTCGTGTTCTTCGTGTTCCCAGAACGCCATTCCCAGGCCACATTTTGAATGCCCGGAGCCAACTGTAGGCCGCTTCGTGTTCTTCGTGTTCCCAGAACATCATTCCCAGGCCACATTTTGAATGCCCAGAACCAACTGAAGGCCACTTCGTGTTCTTCGTGCTCCCAGAACACAATTCCTGTACTATATTTTGATTGCCCCGAGCCAACTGTGGGCCACTTCGTGATCTTCGTGCTCCCAGAACATCAGTCCTGTGCCATATTTGGAATGCCCGAGCTGAGGCAGGCTGAGGCCGAGGCAGGCTGAGGCCGAGGCAGGCTGAAGCTTACGCTGAGGCACGCCGAGGCAGGCTGAGGCTCAGGCTGAGGCAGGCTGACGCTGAGGCAGGCTGAGGCTGAGGCTCAGGCAGGCTGAGGCTGAGGCAGGCTGAGACTGAGGCTGAGGCAGGCTGAGGCCGAGGCTAAGGCTGATGCAGCTGAGGCTGACAGGCTGAGGCTGAGGCTGAGGCAGGCTGACACTGAGGCTGAGGCCGAGACAGGCTGAGGCTGAGGCTGAGGCAAGCCGAGGCAGGCTGAGGCTGAGGCTGAAGCTGAGGCAGGCTGAGGCTGAGGCTGAGGCTGTGGCTGAGGCTGAGGCAAGCTGCGGCTGCAGGCTGAGGCTGAGGCTGGCTGAGGCTGATGCAGGCTGAGGCTGAGGCAGGCTGAGGCTGAGGCTGAGGCAGGCTGAGGCTGAGGCTGGCTGAGGCTGAGGCTGAGGCTGAGGGCTGAGGCTGAGGCAGGCTGAGGCTGAGGCTGATGCAGGCTGAGGCTGAGGCAGGCTGAGGCTGAGGCTGAGGCTGAAGGCAGGCTGAGGCTGAGGCTGAGGCTGAGGCTGAGGCTGAGGCTGAGCAGGCTGAGGCTGAGGCTGAGGCAGGCTGAGGCTGAGGCAGGCTGAGGCTGAGGCCGAGGCAGGCTCAGGCCGAGACAGGCTGAGGCTGAGACTGAGGCTGAGGCTGAGGATGAGGCCGAGGCAGGCCGAAGCTGAGACAAGGTGAGGCTAAATGGGGGGGAAGGGGGGGAGGGGGGGGATGAGGGGAGGCTGAGGCAGGCTGAGGCCGAGGCAGGCTGAGGCCGAGGCAGGCTGAGGCTGAGGCTGAGGCAAGCCGAGGCAGGCTGAGGCTGAGGCTGAGGCTGAGGCTGAGGCAGGCTGAGGCTGAGGCTGAGGCTGACGCAGGCTGAGGCCGAGGCAGGCTGAGGCTGAGGCTGAGGCAGGCTGAGGCTGAGGCCGAGGCAGGCTGAGGCTGAGGCTGAGGCAAGCTGAGGCAGGCTGAGGCTGAGGCTGAAACTGAGGCAGGTTGAGGCATCCGTAGGAATCCATAGGAATCCTCAGGAATAAGAATCCTTTGAAACCGTAGGCATCATTAGGAATCCGTAGGCATAGTTAAGCATCCTCAGGAAGCTGTAGGAATCCTTAGGATTCCTCAGGAATCCTTAGGAATCCCTGGGAATCCCTAGGAAGCACGAGTCCTAAGGATTCCTAAGGTTTCCTAATGATTCCTATGGATTCCTAAGGATGCCTAAGGATGCCTTAGAAATCCCCAGGGATCCTTAGGATTCCATTGGATCCTAAGGCCGTTGCCACTGCGACTGTCATTGCGAATGCGCCTGCGACTGCAAGAACAGCAGAATTCTACAACTGGATTCTCACCTGAATCTTAAGGGGAATGCTTCCAGATATGCTTTACACATCGCTGTTAGGTTGCTTTGCCGGGATAATTTTCTTCGAACGCCCGGGGGGAAGGCCTGTCGAGACCACGGCGGCTCTCCCGCCTGGCCCAGAAAATTCCGCTCCGAGAGCGGGCCCCGGACTCCTCCCGGGGCCCACCCTGATCAGGGAGACGTAAGACTCGGGTACGTGGGACTCGGGTTGGCCCGACGGGGCCATCATAAAAATGACGAGGCCCAATCTGAAATTTGACGCGAGCTCCCGCTGCAGACATCCCACGAGAACTGGACCGTCCAAATCCAGGACGCGCTCGTCAAAAAAACGTCGGCAAACCCGAGTTCCGGCTTACTCGGGTCTTGCGGCTTCCCCACCCCGACCCGTTCTCCGTCGGGAGCGGCCAAGAGGGGGGTGTCCAAAAGGGGGGGTGCAAATCATGACTGGCGGCATGTGCGCGGCCCAGCGGGGGGGGGGCCAGGGACGTAATGAGATAAGAAGAGGCGCCATGAAATATGGGGAAATATCATGGCCCCCGCCATGATATCCCCCCCCCCCTAGTCATCCCCCCCCTCTTTTCCGCCCCCGACTCCGACGCGGCTCCGGCCGTGGCGACGAGAAGCCGGAAGCACGGACAAAAACCGCCAGGGAGGGCCGCCGCTGCCCAAGCTCGCCCTGCTCCGAATGGTGGCGGCGAGCGCGGGGGGGGAGCGAGAAGGGGCAGGCCTCCTCAGAAGGCTCGGCAGTCCCCCGGCCTTCTGAACAACGTCCTACAGCCTTCCCCGAAGACACAGAGAAACAACTCCTGAGGAGGCGCGAGGGCTTCTGCGAAGTCTCCCGCCGCCTTCTGAGCAGGCATTCCTCACTTCCCCCCCCCTTCGCTCGCCGCCGCCGAGGGCACCTGCCGCCCTCGTTCTTCCGCGCCACGGCCGCGCCGCAGGGCGCCAGGGCGGCGCGCAGGCCCGGCGCGTAGTCGCAGGCGACGGAGTGGCCGAGGACGAAGACCACCAGCGGCGCCGGCCCCTGCGGCGGCCCCGGCGCGCCAGCGTCGGCTCGCGCGGCCGCGGCCATCGGCGCGGCCCGCGGGGGCGGAGGGAGCGGGGAAGGGAGGCGGGAGGAGGGAGGCCCCGAGTCGGAAGGAGCAGGAGCAGGAGCAGGAGGAGCAGGAGCAGGAGGAGGAGGAGGAGGAGGAGGAGCAGGAGGAGGGGGAGGAGGAGAGGGGGGGGAGGAGGAGGAGGAGGAGGAGGAGGAGGAGGAGGGAGGAGGAGGAGGAGGAGGAGGAGGAGGAGGAGGAGGAGGAGGAGGAGGGAGGAGGAGGAGGAGAGGAGGAGGGAGGAGGAGGAGGAGGAGGAGGAGGAGGAGGAGGAGGAGGAGGAGGACGAGGAGGGAGACGAGGAGGGGGACGGGGAGGCGAGGACGTCACGGCGCGAGGATGCCCACCCTCCTCCCTGGTGCCCCCGCAGGAGGAGCGGGCGGGGACGCGGAGCTCACGCGCTGCTGAAGTGGCGGCGGGGGGCATGGGCGGGGCGAGGAGAGGTTCGGGGGCCCTGGACGGGCCTCGGGGGCCTTCGGGGTAGCCTTCGACACCAGCACGAGGTCGTCACGACACGAGCCTGCCGCAGGATCTCCCCTGCGGCGAGGGCCTTGGCGCGACGACCCCGCCTGAAGCTTTTGGGGGCCCCGTCGCGCACCCTCGGGGCCCCTGAGGGGGGCTCCTTTCGGGCCCCGTGCCCTGCAAGCTTCGAGCGCCCCTCTTCCCGGGCCCCTGACGTCACGTTTGATTCGCCACGTGGCCCCCCCAACGGAGGTCTTGGCCCATTCGTCGGAACCAAATCTTCATCCTGAAGCGTTTATCGACGGCCCCCGGGCCCAACGAGGGGCCTATGTGTTGAGTTCTCGTTTCGTCGCGATTTGCCCCAAGTTTCCTGTGTGGAGTTCTCGTTTTGGATGGGCACTGCGGTCGCACACATCCTCCTACTCCTCCCCCGTGTCCTGCCTCCTCCTGCTCCGCTCCCTGGGGGGCTGCGAACTGTTTAACTGTGGCCACTTTCGGGGGCTCCTGGGAGACTGCGGAGTCGGGGAGTGTGCGCATCCAGCCGAGACCTCGCAGCTCCCTGGGGGGCTGCGAGCTGCGAAACTGGAGCCACTTTCGCAAGTTCCTGAGAAGGCATGGCGGAGTCGGGGCGTACGCGCACTCAGCCGAGAACTGGCAGCTCTCAGGGTGGCTGCGAGCTGCGCGACGGTGGCCACTTTCGTGGGGTCCTGCTAGGCACGGCGGATTCGTGGAGTACGCGCACCCAGCCGAGACCTCGCAGTTCCCTGGGGGCTGCGAGCTGCGCAACTGGAGCCACGTTCGTGGACTCCTGATATGTACAGCGGAGTAAGGGAATACGCGCGCCCAGCCGAGGCCTCGGAACTCTCACGGCGGCTGCGAGCTGCGGAACACTGGCTATCTTCGTGGGCTCCAAATAGGCACGGCGGAGTCGGGAAGTATGCGCACCCAACCGAGACCTTGGAGCTCTCAAGGTGGCTGCGAACTGCGCAACCGTGGACACTTTCGTGGGCTCTTAGTAGGCACGGCGACGTCGGGGAGTACGCGCACCCAGCCGAGACCTCGGAACTCCCCAGGCGGCTGCGAACTGCACAACTGTGACCATTTTCGTGGGCTCCTGGTAAGCACGGCGACGTCGGGGAGTACGCGCACCCAGCCGAGACCTCGCAGTTCTCAGGGTGGCTGCGAACTGCGAAACTGTTGCCACTTTCGTGGGTTCCTAGTAGGCACGGCGACGTCGGGGAGTACGCGCACACAGCCGAGACCTTGCAGCTCCGTGGGGAGGTGCGAGCTGCGCAACTGTGGCCACTTTCGTGGGCTCCTAGTAAGCACGGCGAAGTCGGGGAATACGCGCACCGAGCCGAGACCTTGCATCTCCATAGCGAGCTGCGCATCTGTGGCCATGTCCGTGGGCTCCTAGTAGGCACGGCGGGGTCGGGGAGTACGCGCACCCAACCGAAACGTCGGAACTCTCAGGACGGCTGCGAACCGCGCAAGTGTCGCAGCGTTCGTGGGCTCCTAGGAAGCACGGCGGAATCGGAGAGCATGCGGCGCCCAGCCGGCACCTCGCAGCTCTCTGGGGGGCTGCGACCTGCGCAGCTGTCGCCAGATTCGTGGGCTGCCACGGCGGAGTCGCGGGGCACGCCGTGCGGACGCTGCCGCTGGGGCCGTCGGCGTGACCCTCCATGGGGCCACGGAGCGCGCGCCGCCGAGGTAGTGGGCCCGCGGGGAGCAAAGCAGGGATTGCAAAAGGGAGGACGCGGCAGCGGGAGAAGGAGAACACGGGGCTCTCTTTTATTTGTATATATCTCTCTCTGTCTGTCTCTTGTTCTCGCTATTTTGTTTCCTCTCTCTCTCTCATGTGTTGTTTCCCTTTCTCTCATTATATTTCTCCTTCTCTTTTTTTTTCTCTCTCTCTCTTTCTCTCTTTCTCTTTACGGGTATATTGTTTTTTTTGTCTTTGTGTTTGTCCCTGTTTCTCTCTCAGAGAGAAACAGCTGCAACGAAGGTGGCTAAGTCAAATCACCTCTTGGGGGCGGCGTCGACCACAGCCGCGGCGACGGACGTGGCGACGCTGCTGCTGATCGGACGGCGCCACTTCGCCCGCCAACGTCTCTCTCTGTTTCTCTCTCTCTCTCTCTCTCTGTCTCTGTCTATCTCTCTCTCTGCCTCTCTCCCTCTTCAGGTCGCTGGCGCGGCGCGCCGCGTTGCAGACGAGGGCGCGCGCGCGCGACCTTGCGCGCGGACGCCCGCGCGGTCGATCCCGGTGTGCTGCGTCGCCCATATACCGCTGCGGAAGCGGAGGGAAAGATCGAGGGGCAGAAGAACAAGGGGCAGGGAAACATGCGGAGATGACTAAGAACAAAATGAACAACGATACTACGATTCCACCACCGCGTCTCTGGCACGACGCGGAGGAAACGGGAGGCGGAGGAGGAAGAGGAGGAATATTAGGAGGGTCTCGCTCGCTCCCACCCATTCAGTCAGTTCAACGTCTTAGCAAACCTCATTCTCACAGCACTAGGGGGGGATGCTCCTTATATGTGCCCCTTTTTTTCATCTTGCTAGCTCGAAGAGCCACGCGCGCTGGCAGATGCAACGCTTCGTTGCCTGCGCGGGGGCCTGGCCGTTGAATTCGACGGGCAGGGCGCAAATTCGGGGGGGGATTTTAAGCCTGTCGCTGATCTCATACCTCTCAAAGTCAACCGGCAACTCTCGACGCTGGGTCGGGCAATGGGCAGAGCGGCGAAGCCTAAAGGAAGTCGCAGGCGACGGGGGAGGTCGCAGCGCGCGCCGCCGCGCCGAGACGAGCCCGATCCCGCCGGGACAAAGCTTCAACATACACGCGCGGCCTGGAATGGGGGCAACGGGACCCTGGTGCCTGAAACGATCTGGGGCAGGACCCAAGACATTCTCGAGGGCAGCGCAGCTGCCGCGCCTCAGAGCCCAAGAAGCCACCATAACTTCAGATGCCCCGCGGCGCCCGAAACAGACAGGGATCTAGCTAAAAGCGGGCGCACCATGGCGCAAGCCTCCTTCGATACGAGAACTTATCCACTCCAATATGCATGAGTATCAGATTCAAGAACATCTGGGTGAGTAGTTGGTTGGGTGGATGCTTCGAGCGCGGAGCGCGTAGCTCCAGGCACGACACTTCCACCGCCTGCACGGATGCAGAAGCATCTGGAGATGAGGGGAATCATCAAGTTCACCCAATCCATTCAATAAGAGACTGGACACACACACACACACACGTCAGATGGTTGTTGGTGGTTGCGGATGCTTCGCACGTGGAACGCTTGGCTCCAGGCGCGACACCCCCGCCGCCTTCACGGATGCCGTAGCATCTGGAGATAGCGGAGGTATAGAAATCCACATATCCAATTCACCGTATCATCTGCGTCTTAGAATAACAATACCAAAAGTTGAACAACAATCACTACGAATGCTTCTACATAAGCCTGCGCGCTGCGTTGCCTCGAGGTGCTCTTATGGCAGTAATGTTTCCTCCAGCTGCCCTGATGAGTTACGATCGTCTCGACGTCCATGACCTTGCCTTTCAACGCGTAAAAAAACCGTCGGCAACTCCAGGGGCGTCTGATGGTGCAGCTGGCTGCCTGGTTCCTCGATGCCCTTGAGCAGTTCGGTGGCCGCTCCTTCCTCTTCTGGCACCAGCGCTGACTGAACCTCGCAAGCTGCGCAAAAGGCGAGACTTCTTGGGCTTCCTGGGCTGGTCGAAGCACGGGGATGCTGCTGTTTCTTGCGCCCGCTGGCCTGTCGGATCTGGCCCTGCCTCTGTCGCCATCCGCGTGGGCCGACCTGCTACGAGCTTGAATCGCGATATCTTCGCCGAAGTGCCCCGGTACTGCCAATTGCCTAAGACGGCCAGAATCGCGTGGACTGACTGGCATGCCGGCGAGCCAAGATTCGCGGTTGGGTCCTGCTTGCGTCCCTTGCGACCTCCGCGCACGCCTTGTTGACGTCCACCACTGCTTGATGCTGCCTGTCCAATATGGCTGTCGTCATGGCCTCGCGTTTCAATGGCCGTACTCTCGCCACTATCTGAACGATGAAGTTCTTCATCAGCAGGATGACTGCGTCGTCGTCCATGTCCTCGTCCTCGCCCTCCTGGCCCTTCGCCTTGTGCTTCTTGCGATCGCTGCCCGCCATCGCGAAGCTATTGCTGCGATCCCGGATCAGCCAAGACCTCTGCCCCGCCGCTGCTGCCGCTGCCTCCTCTCCCATGTTGTCTCGCGTGTAGTGCTGGAACCATCTGGATCAAATAGCTTGGCCCAAGACGCGCGTCCTCGAGGTAAGAGCCGCTGCGATTGAGCTACGTTCTCGTGCTTGACTAACTGACGAACGTGAAAAGAAGGAGATATATTCGTTTCCAGATGATCTCAACAATGCCTGATACATAGTTCCAGCGCGCCGAACCTCTCGTCGCAAAATCGGACATGCCATATCACAT